ATTTTATCGTAACTATTTGAATTTTGTTTTATAATGTATTACATATTTTATATGTAAAATCAATTTTCAAAAAAATAAGCAATATAAAAATAAGTATCTCATTATTTTTTGAATCCATTATATGTTGGTTTTATTCTGACAATGAGACTACCCTAATTTTAGGTTATAAATTGAGATAAAAGAGTCAATAGAGTTCTTCATTATAAAACTAATTCAATTTCATCTGCAATATTGAAAATTTCATTGTTTTGATGTTAAAATAAAAAATAATTCAAACGAAATCAAAAAGTAGTAAAATAGATTATAAGGAGATGAAAAGGTCAAACTACTTCGTAACCAATTTAATGAAAAATTTAAATCGAATTGTGAGGTCTGTGATATCATAGAAGCAAAACTCTTTATAAAGTTTAACTATGAGAGGTTTTTTGTGTATTAAAGTTTCGTATATTCAGCAGAAGTTTATTCATAAGTTGAGTACCTAAACCGTCTATCGTATTGAAAGAACTTTATAGTTCATAGGAACATGCAAAGTAATTAATTTGTGTCTGAACTTATAATACTTTGTGTTTTCCAAAGTTGCAGCTGTACAGATGTAGTTTCAATGTATCAGTATTTCAGTATTTTTTCAAGTCTAGGTCTCTGAATTCCGAATTGAATTTTTGTAAGAAATATGTTTATTTCTTTGCATTATCATCATCATTTGATCATCCGAGTATAGGTAGGAATTAAGTTAATTTTTTTTTCTTCCATTAATTCAATAAACGGGAAACATTTCAAATATAGTAAAAAATAAGTACATAGTTTCCAATCGTATTTCAGTTGGGATTAGTTATTTTGCCCAAATTTAAAATTAAATATCGAAACAAGTTAGTTGGTAGTATATAAATTTTTTATCACACATTTGTGACTTCAAATATTCTGGTTCCTGATCTCTGACAGATACATTTTCATGTTGAGAATTGGTGTTCTATATTAGAATCATTCGTTTGGTTGGCAAATGTTTGCTATTTTTTTGACAGAAAGAAAGTGAGCAAGATTGATTAGCAGATCTGATAGCTTTTAAAACAATATTTCATATAGAAATTAATTCAACTAGAATATACTAAAAATGTTGAGTTTGTTGAATTTTTCTGATACTAATGCATGTTTTTAATGCCTAATTATGAACTAATGAAATTTTCTGTTAATTTATCGATAACTACTATCTTTGAGTAGATTTCAGGAAATTAATATGCACCAGTTCTATAATAATAATGATATGTGTAAGTTTAAATTCACTAATAATTTATGTTTTTTTTTTACAAATTTCATTACCAATTACTTATTTCCAAGTGTGATCGTTGTCAATAGTATTTGATAGTTTTCATAATGCATAGATTCTACTTATAGATTACTGAAATTTTGAGTTTCATCAATACTATTATTGAATATAATAACTTTATATGATTATAATATAGGTACTAGAGTTTGCTATTCGAAGAATTTAAAAGCACAGTTATACAATTCTAGTCCCAAGTAAAAATGGCTCTCTAAATGTACATATTACTAAAACAATCTACTATCTATGAAATATATCTAGAACTAATTTTTAAAATGAAAAATCGATCTCATTGTATACATATATAATGGTAGTATATACTATATTGATTTGAAAACGTAAATTATAATTATAACAAAAGCATTCAGAGTAGGTCATTACGCTTTTGTATAATTAATAGCAAGTAAAATAATTTATAAGAACTCATAAAATCCTATTAAGCGTTAAAATTAGAACACAAATTTTTAGTTTAATACCGAAAATTTTCAATTATTACCGAAAAATTTGATAGCTAGATACTTAAATATAAAATTTTCGTTGTACGAACAACTATTGCTTTATTATTAATTATGATAAACAGTGCCAAATTTAATTTAATTTAATCACGCATAATATATTCAAATTTCTATAATATTAAAAAATTTACAAAACGCAACTATTCCTCGTTTAACAATTTTATATTTAGATTAGATAATAAAGTTGATGAAATAATGAGAAAGCAGATCTAGATCTATTAAAGCTCTTTCAGAAAATCAATTTAAATATTTATATTCTGGACGACATTGCACATATTTCCACTGACAATAGATTTTTTTCTTAAGAAAAATAAACATGTCACAAACATAAACAGCAAGTAATGTTGTAATCTGTACACGAAATTCAACGAACTGACCGAGGACACACAAGAACTTGCGGAGCTGCTACGATTCTGTGGACTTCTCTAATAAACGTAGAGCCGGTTAATATTTCATTTAGAGAATTAAGAATTTAGAATTACTAAAAAAAATACAAAATCTATGTTAGGATTAAAAAATTCTTCGATGTTGAAATGTTCGACTCGTTCATTAGTGATACTCATAAGATTTTACTTCTGTTCATCATTATAAAAAGAAATGTTGCCAATGTGATACGATCAATAACATGATCCAAATCAACGAAAATTTATTTGGCACCTTATTTAGTAACGCCTAAGGATATAATTATTTGCAATTACTAGTCCTTTGGACTTGGATATCTAATATATGTTCTTACTTGATAATAATGAATTGTTTGATATGATAAGGTCACATTTCTGACAAGTAAGTTATAGTCGTGATACTTTCTAACATCCATCCTCTAGAATTCATAGAAATAATGAATACATATTCTTAGTACGGTTGTTATTCTCTAAGAGAAAAATGAAGAAAAGTTAAAAATTCAGAAATGAGCTTATACCACTATGCTTTAAATTTGTTTGATCCAAGAGTTAATACAGAATATTTATTCATTGATGAATATGATGAATTGGAAATTAATTTGCTTTCTATAAATTTTTTTCTAATTTTCATTAGTTTAATCAGAACTTGCTAAAATGCATGCTTTTTAAAAGTTTTACAAAACAGTTTTTAAAAATTGTATATGACGAGAAAGAGGTTAAAGCGAAAGCTTTTCCTTCTAAATTTAATTAAGCCTAAGCTTATTAAACGTGACAAATCAAATAGTTCGTTATTTGTTAAAAAATACTTTATTAAAATAGAGAAATGTACTTTCATCAATTGCTTCAAATCTGTTCAAACAAAGTGTTAATAATTTTGCATTTGTGATAAATTAGAAATAAACAGTATGTAAATTTGTTTCTAATTTTTATTAGTTTAATCAGAAATTGCTGACATACATGCTTTATAATCGCCTTTACAAAAAAAAAAATAATAATAATCTAAACTAGATTATATGGAGAAGAAAACTAACAGACTTTTCTTTCAATTTTGATTTAGATTCATAATCTAACGAATTAAACAGATTGTTCCGATTTTTGATAAAAAAGTTATTAATAGAAACATTTCATGTAGAAAACTTTTATATTTATCCTGATTTGTGAGAAGACTTAATTACACCAGAAGGACTCTGGCTCAAGATTTTATTGATATTTATGATAAATTAGAAATTAATAAATAAATTTGTTACTAATTTTAATTAGTTAAATCAGAGATTGCTCAAATACATAACATTATAAATAAAGAATGTGCAACTTTGCTTCAAATTTTCATTTGTTTAATCAGAATCCTTTTTAAAAGTTTTAGATTCATTGATTCTCATAAAAATTTCTTTCAATCAAGGGTATTTAAGAGAAAACTAGCTTTTTATGCAAACTAACTAGTTTGCTAGTTTTAACAAACATTTATGTTTAAAATTTAATTTAGAGTATGTAACAAATCAAATAGATCCTTATTTCTTATTCCTTGATATACCTTGTAATAAAAAAAATATTCCTAGAAACTGCTAGCAACCGTCAAGATTCTTGTATTTTTGGAGAGCAAATGATTTTTTGTTGAAAACTTTTATAGTTTTTGAAAAGACTTAAGTACACCAGAATGACTCTACTTCCAAGATTTCGTCGATATTTAGGATAAATTAGAAATTAAAATATTATAAGTTTGTTACTAATTTTGAATAGTTTAATCAGGAATTGCTCGAACCTATGTTATTTAATAGCCTTCAATTTATGGTTTCTAAAACTTTCTGTCATTTTAAAGTAACAGGTAAATTCAAATCCAGCGTTTAACAAATAAGACAGATTATTATTTGTGATGAAAGAAGTTATTAGTATAGAAATACTAGTAACCGTAAAGTTCCTTGTATTCTTGCAAAGCAAATAATTTTATGAAGCTAACTTTCATTGTTATCCTACTTTGTGGAAAAACTAAGAAATCGATTCTGCCGCATAACAGAAAAATGTTATGGCAAGGCCCTGCTACGTTCCAACTTACATACATTATGCTACAGAATCATACTGATAATGTCAAAATGTCATGTATTTGCTGTGTATTCAGGCGTTTTGCACATGAACTGCAACGTCACTCATATGTTATTGAGCTGTGTTAGAATGACCCTGCTATCTAACATTGTTTTTTGTCATTTGTGCGGTTTTTAAGTTAGGTTTTCTATGTGTCAATCTGAGAAATACACTTGACTGCACATTAACCCCATGGCTTTTGTCAATATTTTGTACGGAAAGTTCTTCTTAACATGTCCTTGCCACAACATTTTCTAAAGTACATCAGAATTACATTGGCTCAAGATTGGCCCCGTGACATAAATGCTACGTTAATATTACACCAAATACAATAGAACTACTTTTGGCTCATGTAAAATTTGAAACCTGATTGAAAGAAAAGGTGATTGACCAAATATTTTTTCACTGAGAAGTTCCCAAACGAGATACTTGTAAATAAAATATATATCGACTCTTAGTCTATGTACTTCTCCGTAAATTTCAAATTTCATATACTCGGCCAACCGTACAGATGCAAACAAACACACACGAAAACCCACAAACACATCGAGAGTTAAACACATTCGCCACGGAAACACACATTCGCATACATAAAACATAAATTTTAGTACCTGCACAAGCCGCCGGGACGCCCCACTATATAAACGTTGCGCAAATTAACTTCAAAACTCAGTTACGTTCAGTCACTCGTGTTACACGTTTCGTGGTTTTTCGAAAAAAACACACACACTTTTTTTTCTAAAAGATAACATAAAAAATAATTTAAGAAAATGAAATACACAGCTTTTGTCTTAGTGTCTTTGGCTGTCTTCGGCGCCGTCTTTGCCGAAGAAAAAGCTGAGGAAGAAGTGGTTAAAGTTTACAAACGTCTTATCCCAGCTGATGTCTTAAGAGGTATTTATTAAAAAAAAAATTTAAATCTCACAAAATAACACTATTATTTAGCTAGTAAAAGTAAATTGAAGGAATATTGAAGTATAATTTTCAATTTTTTTTTTTATAAAATGTTAAACATTCGGTAAGGACTTTGTAAAAAATATTCTACTTTTAATTGACAAATGTTCTTCGATGCGATTTTTGGTCATTTGCCTAATAATGTTGCTATGTTGGTTGAAATATACATCAAGCTTCTTGAAAACAATGCCAATTTGAATAGACTTTTGCACCAAATGAGACTATCAACACTGATTTTCCTCTTAATGAAACTGCTGTTCATCTATTAAACGTGGCATGTGAAATATATTTTAACTAACTACTGTTTTTATCAATATTTATGAAGTTTTTTGGTATATTATAAGTATATAGTGATTGAACAAATGCTCAAATTGTGTAAATTTTATTTTATGCCAAACGGAGGCATAATGGTAACATAGCAAACCATAAGGCTTTAAATAAATAAATCTTGTATCTATTTACCTAAATCATGATTAATTTACTTCCGTTTCATGCCTACTTTCACAGTAGAAGAGATTGCCTTTCTTCATTAATTTTTATTTTGATCCAAAAAGCTCCTAGACTATCGCTGTTGTTACTTTCAAATTACCTGTTTGTATGGTAGATTTATGGACTTAAAAAACTTCTACAGATCTTTAATCAAAATTTTGTCATCAATTAGGTCATATGATAATAATGATATTAAAATTATTAATTTTTAATTAATTAAGTATCTCTTCTGATTTTCTTATTAAAAAGCAGTATAAAATTAGGTAAACAAAGGCGGAAAGTTGGCAAAGTTCCCAAATTTGTTGCAACGTTATTTTACTGAAGTTTATATTTTAAAAAGCTGATATAACATGTGCACAAACACAATTGAGACATTGTTAAAAGAAGGTGTACCTATGTACTAAATTTAAAAAGTAAATAACACCTAAAATATTTTTCAGTTACTACTATATATATCTGACAAGGAGGACCTCTGGTTTGCTCTTTCAGGATTTTGATGAAATTTTGCATGGCGATTGAGTTGATTGTTAAAACAGTTCAAAATATTATAGGTTTACAAAAAGTGGTTTAAGTATAAAAATCAAAAAAAAAAAATTGAAAAACAGTCTCCGAGCAACACTTTATTTTTTTTATAAACCACTTCTTATAGGCCTATAATATATTAACTGTTCAATTAGACTATCGACTTTATCAACATGCAAAGTTTCATCAAAATCCCAGAAGGGTAAACCTGAGGTTCTCCTTGTGAGTACTTGTTTATGATTTTCCAAAGAGAATGATTTTCCTTGTTTATAAATGATAAAATATCAAGTTCTATAATAAATAGCAAATTCAAATATATAATTTGAAGTAAAATTTACATAAGGCATTATTTAATTAATATTTAACAAGACTTTCACATTTATTACATCCTTTATCAAACCCTAAACATATAATGGAAAATTTATAACTAAAAAGCAATATCTTATGTTCAGTGTAATAAATTCTTCTTATGATTCTCATGAGTCATAAGGCATTTTATGAAATTACGTTACAACCATTTTATATTTTATATTCATTGCAAACTTTAAACGCTATATTAAATTTACTGCAAAATTCTTCACTCAAAGCTCCTTATATCGCATAGAGTCGCTTTCGCGTGTACCAGCAACCGCATTTAATTTCCATGCAAGTAAATGCACATATGACTCAAGCGAAAGGTCTCGTATCACAAAAACATGAAACAGTTTTTATTAACCTTATTTCAAAACTGGTTCCGATCTTTAGCATATTAAACGAATTACAAATATATTTCACCGCACACAAATAAATTGTGTTGCATTTACATATCTGCTCTTACACGTTCAAATATGGAATTACTGTACATATGTCTGTTCCCAGCTTAAATCGAGCTTATATAACGTACCATGTAAAATGTCAATCGGAAATAAACCTGAATATTGAAATTGTGAAATAAATTGACATGATGAAACATCCATTAAATTCCATGCATATATTTTCAACTAAGTACGGATAAAATGAAAATTAAATATGCCTATTGCATGCGAGTATCAAAATATTTTAGGACTTCATCTAGTTTCATTGATATACATATATAATATACATACTTACATACATTGTGTATATAAAAATATTTTGTATAATTATACATTTGATGTAGACATATGTATTATATTAAGTATTAACCAAGTCTCTAATCGGACTTTTTCTGTTTTACCACTGAGATTTGCAAATTGCAAATATTTTTTACAAACTCAGTTGTTACATATATTATATGTTAGTTTTTAATTTTAATTTCAAATTCCACTGAATGAAGGCTTATGACTATCGACAAATCGTAGGGATTTTAGAATAAATTTTTAATAAAAATTTAAATTCAAATATAAATTTTGAACATCAAATATTTTAGTAAGAGATGTTTTTTCCTATTTTCGTCAGAAAATCCGATGTGCTAATTTATATTTTCCCGACGTTTTAAATTATTCTTAATTGTTTGAGACCAAAATTGGAAAAAGTATATATGTGCGCATGTATGTGACCGTAATTTCATCCTTCGAGGGTTGAACCGTTTTTAATAATTTAAAAGATATTCGATGAAACTCGATAAGGACTAGGTAGAAAAGTGCTAAACGTTTTATCTACGTTTTACAAAATTCAAAATCGATTTTGAAAATTTGGAGGAGATACATTTCGGAGTTGAAGATCGTTCTTTGCAAAGATCTGCCTGACCGTTTTTTCGTATTTAAGTATTAAATGTTTCTTCAGCATTTTTATTAAAACTTATAATAGCAATAAAGTTGTAAGATCTAAAAAAACAACATTCTAAGATACTATAAGCCTTCAAAAAGTGGCTGAATTATAAAAAACCATAAATGTTTGGAAAAATGTGTAGCATTTTAGGTTCAATAAGCGTGTATTTGTGCTATATATTGAAATAATATAATTAAATTTATTGTTAGTTTGTTTAAAAACAACCTGTAGGAAATAGTATTGCATAGTTTTTAGTCATAGCGACAACTTTTATGTAATGTTATCTAAAAAGCTAGCAAGCTTCCAATCTTATTTTGTCCATTATTTATATGCATCGAGAATTTCTAGCAATTTAAAACGAAGTGCATTTTAAGACAAAATGCATTCTAAGACGAAATACCACTTAAGCCTAATCGTGAATGTAACTAAATAAAATGCCTGCAACATACCAAAAGTTTAACGTAGCAAAACATGAAGAACAATAACACGTTAATCGCCACAATAATATCCGAAAATTTTTCACATGAGCCCCGGTAAGTTCAAGCAATTTAAGATGAAATGCATTTAAAGACGAAATGCCACTTAAGCCTAGTTATGAATATAATTAAATAAAATGATTCCAGCATAACAAAGTTTAATGTAGCAAAAATTCGTATTTACAAAGAATATTAAAACGTTAATCGCCACGCTAATATCCGAAATTTTTCACATGAGCCACTGTAACTTCATTAGATTTAGTTAAAAATGTATCCGAAAAAAATTTTTTTTGACAAAATTCCTAGAAAAATACTATATTTTATGTCATTCATATATATGACTAACATGGCCCTATAATGATTTTAACCCTAGAATTTGCAAGTTGTAAGTATTTTTTATGCTTGATAATTTTTCAAAATCAGTTGTTACATATATGTTAGTTTTTAATTTTAATTTTAGTTTCACTTAATGAAGGCTTACCGAAACGTATGGATTTAAGAATATTTTATTTTAAAAAAAATATTGGACTCAAGAAATAAGTTTTTTATTGATGTTCCAGTTTTTTATTGATTCTGGTGTCCCATGAATGGACCCAAAGGACAAAATTTTGAAAAAATCGATTTTGACTCATATAGAGTGCTTTGGACAATATTTCATATATTTTAAGAAAAGTTATTTTTTTGTTTTCGCTAGAAAATTCGATGTGCTAATTGATATTTTCTCGACATTTCAAGTTATTCTTAATTGTTTGAGACCAAAATTGAGAGAAGTATGTGAGCCGCAATTTGTTATTGACTTATTATTCTTTTTACCATAGACTCACTTGGTCTTATTTTTTCACAAAATATCTTCCATAAATTGCTCGTAAATTTGTAAGGTTTACGAACTTTATCTTCGAAAATTACAAATTCTCCAGCGATATTTTGTTTCATAAATTATTACCATCCTCCTCAATTAACTATTCAAACGCCGCATTAGTTCATGCGGTGAAATCTAATTATTTCTGACGGCTACCGAATTTATCGAAACTTTGCCCCGTTGAGCGGAGATTTGTGTGGAATATTTCAGCAACACGACGACCGAGCCGGTCGCTTACGTGCGAAATTATTAAACTGTACCTCAAACCTCTCTGCCTCGTACGTATTTTAAAATTCAGCTCGAAAATTAACCTTCGGAAGTGCTAATTAATGTTAATGCAAGTTTTTTACGATACTATGTACTTTGCGAAATATTCCAGTTATAATTACAATGCTGCGTTTTAACTACGTATGCGCCAAAATAATAAAATACCTGCAACGCAACAAAAGTTAGCGTTGGGGAAATGCTTATTCATAAAGTATATTAAAATAAAGTATTGTATTTCAGTGAAAATGCTGTCAGAGGTTTTTCATTAGTTCATTTTTTTACTGTGTGAAAACATTCATGAAAATGAAAAAAATATTATAAAAATTATATTACAAAGGTTACTTAACAAAGTAATGCTCAGTGATATATTTTTTTGACGTTCTTTTTACAATTCGTCAGTCACGTGGCTTATTAGATAATTTAAATAATTCACTTTATTACTATTGGGATTGATATTGATATTTTATTTTATTGTTTTTTATGAAACATTATCTTAAAATCTGTATGTTGTGACTTTTCTGCTTTGAATTTGTTAAACATGCTGAATGATAAGCCATCATTGATGTCATCATTGATGACACACATACGGTGTTGAAACG